TACCTTTGTGGTATCGCTCAGCGGATACACTCGACAACAGAATGTTGAAGTTGAAATTCCTGGTGGTGGAATAAAAAATATTGCAATGAATGACATTGTTTTGGTTGCTGTTGATATTGTTGAGAGTGTATTGAACATGGAAAAATAACCATAGACGTTAGGATACGATATAACGATTCACTCGTTGCTGGGATTAACTATCTCTGATACAAATGTCTGGATTGTAGATAATCGAATCGAATGGTCAAACTCAGTCTATCTTGCAGTATCTCGTGTCTGAAGAATATCTCACCTACATAGGGTTATTACAGATTACGTGATAACTAAGGAAATCACTAATGTCCTTGTTGTCATAAAGAAGAAATTGTCGAGTTATAGGCAATGTGACAAAAAAAAAATAAGCGTGACTTTGATATTGATACTGAATTTATTATAACACTAAAACAACTACAGAATAAACATTGTGCAACCTGAATACATAATGTTATGGCAATATTCGAATAATAATCCAAGACAATTTACCGTAGCCAGAATTAATAGTAATCTTGGTCATACACATGATAATTTGATGCTGACCTGTCTTGAATGTAATCGACGTAGAGGTGCTAATTTACATAAGTGGACGTAGTGGTAATTTTGTGTCCTCAGGAATTACTTGTAGTCACGCTTCAGATAGGATCAGTTGCTCTTTTTTACCACCCTTAAGTTCACCAGGTTCGAATAATATCTTACAGTTATATTACATAATAATGGTTGTTCACGGCGTAGACCGTTAACGCTACGTGGTATATATGTTTTGTAATTGCATTAAAAGATTTCATGGAAGTTGTAAGAGTAATTTCATTATTTAGTGCAGATATCACACATGGTAACTTTGCAACCATTTCACGAGATTGCTCACTGGACTTAAAGTCAGTATATATTTCCTTCGCGTACTGATATCCAAATAACCGCCCAGCAGGTGTTCAATTAAATCGTTTAACGATTGCCTGATCACGATGAATTTCAGTATTTCCTCGTCGGATTTTAACGTTACATATTTTTCATCAAAGATAATACTGCACCAAGAAATTCTTTGCTAGGATCAACCTGTAATAGCTGTGGCCATCGCAAACCACCACGTTGATAATTCGCTCAAATTCAGATCTAACTTCTGAGGCTGTCTTTGTTGATTATCGTTCTGCTTCTTTATTTGCAACGTCAACAACAGTCAATGTGTATTTGTACTTGTGTAATTTTCGTCCACGTGTTTTAACAGTATCGTGTGTAAAAACAAAATATATGCTTGATGAACTTCATTGGGAGTACTGGCATCAAAATGTGCGTATTGAATTTTTTTAAGGTGGTGGTAGATAGATTTACCATATTGCCTGTCGTGCTAACCGCACTGCAGAAATAATGCGTGAGACTTTAGCTGCTTCAGCAAGTTTAGTAATCGCTGCCTTGCTTCTCCAATATCCTCTCAGGAAATAATATATGGATTTCATTATATTATTTATATAATTAATAATTTAAAGCCCCAATCATTATTTTATCTTTCATAGCAGATTTTACTAGAAAACCAGCGAGTTTTTCTCTGAGAGATTTATTAGGTATAACATTTAACGCATGAATCAATTTCACATCTGCGAGATGCCGTTGCTGCAAATCTTTACTTTTATACGCAACATCATGAACATGACATGATTGATTAATCTTGTTTACTGGATGCTCCCCATGTCTTGGTTGATCTTGATTATCAAGTCGGATATTAAGTCAAGTTCCAGGACCACAATAATTATATCCAGGAAGATGTTTCTCGCCGGTGTATTGAGCCCATGGAGCTCCTGGTAATTTTCTGTAATGAAGCAACTATATCATTACCACGCGCTATTTGCGACGCGGAAATAAATTTATATTTGTGTGTGCCACATTTTGCACATTTACCTGTAATTGCACCTCTTTTATTTTTTGCTTTATCGTTGTCAATCCAGTGATCCCACCAACTGTAAGGGTAGGTACTCTGCATTGAACACAATGTAAACTCATATTTATTTATTATATGGATATAACTGACTTCTCAGCGACATGAAAGCAACAACCAATAAAGCACAATCCAGCGATTCCGAATAATATACAAATTATTATAATAGGTCCATCTGGATCTGGTAAGACGCAAATTTTACATAATCTGATAATGAGGAGGATGAAGTGGGACAAATTATATTTAGTAGCACCATCTGTAGATGATCATAGATGTTACGAAGTACACAAAGATTTTAATGAAAATGCAAAATTATTGAATCAAGAGGGCAACGATATTGTTGATTTTATCACCGATATTGATGAAGCTCCATTTGTAGATGACTTATATGGATTTATTAATAATCTCGTAGTATATAATGATGTGATGCTAGACAAACAATCCAATCCAGATAGACATACAAATACGGTCGTAATTTATGTTACTCAACGATATACACAAATAACTTAGGTGATCAGAGATAATTATAAAATTTTTGTTGTATTTAATGGAGTAGATAATTGTACTGTACAAAATATTTATTATACATGGTGTTGAGGAGACATGGACATGATCAAGCTTTAAAACTTCTTTTCAAAAGCACAATCTGTTCCATTCGGATTTATAACAATAAATCTACATGACCCAAGATCATCTTGTATCGTATTGGTCTGGATGAAATCTTTGGCTAATTCATAGCAGCAGAGAGGGCGAACGACCAATACTGAGTAACCAGAAAAGTAAATGAAATCGCATACAAATTTGAAAAAAAAAATACGTCAACGATGAGATAACCAAACGATTTATTATCCGTTCTCAACCGTATGGAAGTAGTCAAGTTAGAGGCTTTAGTTTAGCGTCATTGACTTTGTTTTTAGAATTCGTAGGAAGGTTTATTTAATAGGCAAATGACTATTCAGCCAAGTGGTCTGTTCGCCCTCTTTGCTGCTACACAGAAATTAATATGAACTGTGTATTTAATGTACTGGATGGAAAACATAGAGGTTTTAATTGTATGTGCCAATTTCTGGCTGAAGCTGCAGAAATTAAAGTACATGGTAATATAATTTTTTTATCTTGACATTAGTTTTAAGTTAATTAAAAATCATTTATATGATATAGATTTCATATGTTGATACATAACACTTGTCTGAAATTCATATAATTATTGCTAAAAGCATTAGCAGTATATTAAATTTATAATTTAATGTAATGAAAAATGAGACCAATAAACCTGTACAATTAATCATGAAGATAATTATATTCCTATCCTATAGGAACATGATGCAAATGCTGGTATTTGCATCTGAAAATGTTATATATATTTTGTTAAAAAGACAAATATGATCAAAACTTTACAACCTTTCTATTAGCTAATTCCATGTTAACTTAGCATGAGAATTCAAATGGCCCATGACGGATGATAAAATCCAGTTTGTATCGATTGGCAGGTCCACATCAATCCGCGAGTAACCGGAGGCCATATCCAGTGTGCACATAAGCATATCATCTGTGTTCAGGCATTCTTCAATATTTGGCAACCAGAATTACCCTTTTAAAAAATAAAAATCTTGTTGATTGAAGTCTATTCAGCATCGGATGCATTTTGTATCTTTCGCATCAGAAGTGGGGCTCCTGCACACTCAGATCTTGATGACATGATGACCCCCTTTTCTTGCATATTGTTCGCATACTCTGAAGAGGCTTGACGTTCTTAATGTTTCTCTATGAATTGATCTATGAATTGGTTTGGTTTTGCTAGATAGTTTTATTATATTTCTTTCTTTTCAATATAAATGTTGCATATATTCCTAGAGGTTTTAAAGACATAACATCGACAACTTTTTACGGCATTTTCCAGCCCACGCTCTCACAAATTTTCGAGTCTTGTTTGACATCTTAGCAGTAATCTGTAATCCTCTGGTAAATTCAATTCCCATAGTAAACATATGCAAACAACATGATATTAAAAGTTCAGTAACTTCAACTTCCTGAGAGCTCATGATCACACACATACATACATACATACATACATACATACATACATATATATATATATATATATATATATATATATATATATATATATATATATATATATATATATATATATATATATATATATATATATATATATATCCTGGATGACAACGTGTCTAGAGAAAAAGAGAAAAGAACGAGCCTAAGAATTTCCTGGACCTACATGTGCTTGAAATATGTGCTTTAAATTCTGCACCAAAGAGTGCAGTGCAAAACTCAGTAACGAGTGTTCCAAACTCGATACTGAAATTCTATCAATAAAACAAAATCTCTGTATTTTTTAAGTTAAGTTCTAGACTGGTTCCAATTTTTCCATATAATGGGTACTATGATCCTTAAGAGAAAGCCTTTACCATGCGATACCAGAAATGATTTATACTTGCATACTAAATGAATGGGGACAACATTTATAATATCAAATCGCTTGCAATGCACTTATAGTAACGTCAAAATCAATAAAATATTCTGGGCATGCATACAAAAAATAATTACTGCAGAAGTGGGTAAATCGTTACATCTCACCCTCCCAGCAAAAAGCGCGCGCGCGTGTGTTGCTTAGTTTTAGTAAAATGTCACATCCACTAATTTTGTAAAAAAAAAAATCAGTGTTCACAATGATTAATCGCCAGTACTTACTAATTGTGGAATACGGAAATCAGTGAGTGATACGTGGATGAACAGAAAAGGCGAGCGCATGATCTTTCAAAACAGTTTGTGATGTGATGTGATTATGATTTTTAACGTAGCTTTAACAATTTTTCAGTCATATCGCTACGATGTCTGCAGTGTGAGATTTTATTGGGATGTAACACTGGGGCATCATGCTGCAGACCATGTAGCATGATGTCCCATCCACTCACATTATCTTGACACCAGGATGACTAGTCATAACACTAACCTCTTAATGCTGAGCGTCAAGCGAGGCAGCTGTTAGTCCCATTTTTGTAAGTGTTTGGTATGACTCGACCGGGTATCGAACCCATGACCTCTCGCATCTGAGGCGGACGCTTTAACCACTAAGCCACCGGAGCGGTTCAAAACAATTTAATGTACCAAATTAATAACACGCCATCGAAATACGTAATAATGTCACAACATCTCGCCGACGTCAGTCTGTTATATTAAAACAGTCACTTTGGAATCCAGCTATTGTAAATGCTGCTCTATTCATGCTTTTGATGTCTACGCTATTAACACCACTCTCTTTCTTCTCTGTTGGTTCGTGTGGTTTCTTCGCTAATGCAGTGTCTTGAATTTTGAAATATCGCAACATTCTAGTCTAGAATGCTCTGGACCTTGATTCCTAACACCTGCATTGTTTTGAAAACCTAATAGAGTTTAATTGTAGAAAAGTGTCAAGGAATTTATATATCAGCTCTCTTTCCTCCGCCATTCTCAAACGCTTCCAATATAATCCGTTCATCGTTTTCTAGTATCACCTGCCATAGGGTGTCGCTGCTTTTATGCTAATACGCAAATACGCGACGTAAGAAGATCAAACAATTTTCGGGGTTCTAATAGACGGAGAAGGTTTGGAAAGAGCTGCTGGAACAGATCGAGAGATGAAGGATGAAACTTTAACATCTGCTTACACAGGTCAGCAAAAATCATGAAATTTATCAGATGCGGGCCGCTTTTAGTTTACGCTTTCTGCAGAACTGTAATGTTTACCTATCAGGGGTGACCCCCCCCTGTGCCTCACGGTCAGCAATCACCCTAGCAAGTGCTGTACGCATATACTTATTTATAACTGCAACATTTTAGTTTGGTTTCCGATAAGTTGAGAATTACATGCTTGTTTTTGTCCAAAAAAAATACAAACTCCATACAAATGACGATATTAAGTGGCTGATATTTATGTAGCTGAGATAGAGTATCTTTCAAAACACAAATATGGTTTTAAAGAAGATATAAAAATGACTGAAAAGTAGTTGAAGGAGATTTGAGACGACACGATTTTGTAAACAAATTGGAGAAAAAAATAAGTAAATAAATTAATACATCAATGGGAAATGTTAAACTTAAGACGCAGGACGAGAAATTTAGTAATTTAAAAATAGAGAGTACCGGACTGAAACGGCAATCTCAAAAACATGCTGGACCAACTACAATGAATAAGAAAGTACAAATATAAACATTTGTTTACTGGGTATGGTAAGGAAATAAAAGGAAGAAGCACTGCTGAGAGAATTTTCAGATATGATAAACGCGTGTTCCTTGCAACACCAAGTTGGATCGTGTGTATCATATATTTATGCATCGTTTACCCAAATAAATGGTGACGAGCAAGAATAGTTGAACGATATTTTGCCATATACTAGCTCTACTGATCATTATATAGTTGTTTGAACACTAAAGTGAAATGAGTCATTACAGTGAAAGACGATATTACAATGCTAAACCCAGGTCATATGAACAGACTTAGACCCACCCTGGGACTTGATACTGCGAAATTTTAAAACTGTTGTGACCGCTCCAATATGTAAAAAAAAAAAAATAATTGATCTCTTCCAGAGCGAAATAGATGCCGTTAAAAAAGTGAAACTATCTTACTTGTACTGTTGATAAAGGGGCGTTTCAATATTAACATAAAGTGTATAACACTCGGGGTTAACGGTATTGTTAAACATTTAACTATGGTGCATTGAGATTAGTCATGTACATTTTTGTTTTCTTACTTCGCTTCATTGAGTGTGGCATTTTCGTGTCTTTTGCTAAACTGGAGAATCGTGCATGCCAAGATATAGATGTGTATCACGCGCACATTTACAACGTGCCAAAGTCAATAATATACGTCTGTTTTTTATTATTTTAAATATGCATAAAAAAGCAGATCAGCGGTGTTTTGTTATTTCATATTCGAATTAAGCATGAACGCAGTTTTATTCCGCGAAGAAATTTCAGTAGACTATGTGGTTCTTATAAGCAAATTTATCTTCAAATATCATCGTGTATGAAAGGGCGCTGTTACCACCACCCCCCCTAAAAATTCACGAGTTTTACTGTTTACGTAGCGTTGAAACTTTGTTCCAGTTGCACTGATGGTACCCTGATCTCCACGATGCGCACTGAAATGAAACTGCATTTTGTTTTAGTATTACTTTTATATTACTCAAAATAAACAGACAAAAAGATTCTACTTAATATTATTCATTTTTTTCTTATATTAATATCCTTTAAAATTTTTAACTTATTTTGCGCACATGACTATTTTGTTGTTTCTTTTTGAGGCATAAGAGAGGATTCAGAAAAGCCCAACATAAACTGAGAGTTGAATATATTAAGCAACGATCTATTGTTTAATGTGCCTGAGTATTGATAAATTTTCGCATACAGGATGTCATAACTAATATAAATGTATAATATGTACTGTATACTCTCTATTGTATAATATGCACTATATAATGCACTGTATAATATACACTGTGTAATATGTACTGTATAATGAGCTGTATAATGCACTGAGTAATATATACTGTATAATACACGCTATATTATATGCACTGTATCAATGTACTGTATAATGCACTATATAATATGTACTGTATAATGCACTATATAATATGTACTGTATAATGCACTATATAATATGTACTGTATAATATGCATTATATAATATGCACTGTGTAATATGTACTGTATAATGCACTGGGTAATATGTACTGTATAAAATGCACTGTATAAGAGTACTGTATCATATGTTCTTTATAATGCACTATATAATATGTAATGTATTTTATGCACTATATAATACCCACTGTATGTACTCTATAATACTAACTATAGTATACGTACTGTATCAATGTACTGTATAATGCACTGGGTAATATGTACTGTATAATATGCACTGTATTATGAGTACTGTATCATATGTCCTTTATAATGCACAACGTAATATGCAATGTATTTTATGCCCTGTATTTATAGGTTACTGCATTTGTATGGAAAAATATGAACGAGTTTTTTGGATAGCTATACTGCACGACCTTGGGAGTGCAGTATAGCCATCCGAAAAAACGAGTTCATATTTTCCCATTCAAATGCAGTAACCTTTTTATTATATGCTCATTGTTGTTTCATTACCAAAGACTTAATAATAAAATTCACAACAAAATATATTTAATAAAAAAATTTATTATTTTATTATTAAAATAAATAAGTTGACAATCGTAAATTCTCCTTCAATACGCAATAATAGTATTTATGCGCATATAGCTCCGCCCATCGACCTTTTGACTTCATAGCGTTCCGCGCGCTCGCTCATTTAAAAAAGAAATCCCATTTTGGTCTATCTGAAATTGAAATTTAAAGTCATATTATGAATGACTGCGCCACTGAACAAAGTTCCCAGCTCGTCAGGAATAGAGAGATTTTGTTTCTCTGTCAATACAGCCAAATTCTGATTATCTCCGTCTGTGTGTTTTCCGCACGATGTACGTGTGACTTTAGGGACTGGCGATGACGACAATCTGCATAACTGTTTCTGTTCTGCCATAGATAGTTTGGAATCGTAAACTGGAAAAATATGAAAGTTTTTAAGCATAAATTCTTAAGATGATGCTTGTTTCAATATTGTTTATTTTTTGTGAACAACAGATTCATTTGTTGCGGAGTTCCGTACAGTCTACTATGGAATGTGATTTCGATTTCAACAATGTAGTCTGGATTCTATAGGCTTATATATTATAGTACACAGATGTGTAACAGTATTTAGAAATACGTAATTCTTATTAGCAGAAAGACTCCACAAAGTACAAAGTACATTTTGAGGAGATTAAAGAGGCAAAAAGGCAAGTAGATTTATTCTCATTACTATAACCAGTTATATATATGACATATTTTTATGCCTAGTCACTTGCATTATCTTTGTTGGAGGGACCCCAGCTTTTGACAGGTTTGTCACAGTAGTCTTCCTTACAGAATGATTGGTAATTCTCTCTCTGGATTTGTGCCCTTTCGGCTGCTTGTTTCATCAGAGTTCCAAGCTGATTAACCCCCACTGATCTCGGATAATACCTGCAAATTTTAACATTTGCATCGCGAATATGTTATATTTAATTCAATAATCCAATGCACCTGACATAAAAACCAGTTTTCTTATATTTGGCAATGTTGATTAATGTATTTCATTGTGAAAACGGTTTGGTATGTGCAGATTATACAATTCATTACATATTTTCCCCATATTTTTTGTTTTATGTTATGTAATTTTATTTTCATTCATTCTTTGCATTGTCTAAAAAAATTGTTACTCCTTTTTTCTTTGTTTATATTTCATATAGCCATCGCTGAACATTTCTGATATCACGTTCAGTCGCCAGCTTCGTTGAAAATTTCTTCTGTGAATCTATGAATTCATCTACATTCTCAACTTTGGCATCTCTTCTTTCAAATGGTTCAAACAGTTGGTTTACTTTATCCACCGACAAACATAATAAAACTAAAGTACTGGCGTCTGCGTCCATTGTTTGTTTACTATAGAAAGTAGTTCTTCATTCACGTGCATCAGTCACGTGGGAGTGTTCAATATCGCCGGATATTGAACGATTCTGACAATGTAAAGTTAACGGAGAAAAAAGATGAGCATATAATAAAATGCACTATATAATACCGACTGTGTAATACATTGTGTAATATGTACTGTATAATATGCACTGTATTATAATTATTATATCAATGTACTGTATAATATGCATTGTATAATATCTACTGCATAATGGACTGTGTATGTACTGTATAATGCACTGTTTCATATATACTGTATATATTGTACTGTATAATATGCACTGTCTAATATGTACTGTATAATGTACTTTATAATATCCAGAGTATTATATGCACTGTATAAAATGTACTGTATGATGCACTTTAAACAGTATTTATAATGCACTATCCACTATATTATACACTATGTAATATGTAGTGTATAATATGCAATGTACAATGCACTGTATAATGTTCTGCGAGATATGTACTACATAATATGCACTGTGTTAAATGTACTATATATTGCACTATATAATTCACTGTA